ATACTTTGTGTAGCAAGGACTTGAAACAGTGGTTTATTAAACCTATCTGCACATCAAAATTACCTATGAAGCTTTTTTTTTTTTTTAAAAATTACAGCTTAAATAAATAGAATTCATATATCATACAACTCACTCTTTAAATTATACAGTTTAACAGCTTTAGCACATTCACCGAGTTGTGCAAACATCACTGTAACCAATGGTAGAATATTTTAATCACCCCCATGAAAAACCTTGTACCACTTAGCAGTATATTCTTTCATTCCTTCCAACCTCCCTTCCCCCTATCCCTCAAGCTTAGGCAACCACTAATTCACTTTATATCTCTATAGATTGGCCCAATCTGGCAATTTCATGTAAATAAAACTCTGATATTTTGTAACTGGCTTTTTATTTTTTACTTAGACAATGTTTTCATTCATTTTATATATCAGTACTTCATTACTTTTTATGGACAAATACTGTTTCATTGTATGTACAGATAACATTTTATTTATCCAAAAGACATTTGGGTTGTTTTTACTTTTTTTGGGGGGGAGGGATGCTATTATGAGAAATGCTATTGTGAATATTTGTATATGCGCCTTTGTTTGGATATGTGTTTTCAGTTTTATTGGGCATGGTCCTAAGAGTGGAATCACTGTGTTAGATGGTAACTCTATGTTTATCTTTCCAAGGAACTACCAGATTGTCTTCCAAAGATGCTGTACCATCTTACATTTCCACTAGCAATATATGAGGATTCCAGCTTCACTACATCCTCACCACCACTTGTCCTTTAGATCATAGCTCTCCTAATGGATATAAAGTTGTATCTCATTGTGACTTTGATCTGTATTTCTCTGATTGCTAATGGACAGTTTTTTAAAAATATTTATTCCTTAGACCCTCCACCCCAGACTTATTGGATCAGCATCTTCAAGAACTTGTAGATGGAGAAATGGATAGTTTTTACTAAACTGTTCAGATGATTTTGATAATCAATTGACCATTATAGTAGTTTCCCATTCTAGTAGTTTCCCCAAAGGAAATGTTTGAACCTCATGGAGAAGGGATCTCTGGTTGTAGATTTCAAAATTCCATAAATCATGTGACTTGATGGGGTAGATGAGAAAATGTATTTCTTTTAATACACATAGATTAGTGGATTGTAGATCTTCCGAATGAAAATAACTCCTAAAGTCATATTGACAAATTTTTCTATCGACAATAGATTTTTTCCTTAGTGTATATTCTTAATAGAAATTTGATTTAGGAGTCTTCCTTGAACATGATTACATGATTTTATGGTTTATTTATTTGAATGGCTAGTCTGTCTCAGATGTGATTTGGATGCCTCCAGAATCTGGGAGCAATCAATTGGGTAGCAGTTTAAAAAATACATGATATCCGAGAGACTTGGGTGATTTAGTGGATGTGTTCAGGGACTTGGGAAATGAGAATTCTTGTTCTGACTCTAATTTATCTTGGCTATTAGGCAAGTCACTTTCTCTTTCATCTGAGTTGTTTCACCAAGTGAGACAGAAGTAAATTACAGATAATAAAATACTGACTCGGATAATTGTTGGTGTCTTGGTGCCCACTCTTGGAAGCTACCACTAAAAATAGATAACCATTTATTTACTGAGAGTTTTCTACTTGCCAAACATTGCGTTAAATGCTTCCTGGATCTCTTATTTAATCTTTGTACCTTCCTCTGTAGTAAATATTGTTGTACACACTTTGTAAACCAGGAAATTAGCATTAATATCAGCTAAGAAACTTGGTGAAGGCTGTACCACTATTAAGGTGTAGGATACTGTTTTTTTTTTCCAGACCTGATTTTAAAGTCTTCAGTCTTCCTTCTGTAAGATAAAACAAAAGGCCCCAATAATATAAAAAACCAAAACTAATTCTCAGAAGTGTGTAAAGAAACAAAACCTGTGCATTCTCCCTAGTCTCATGTCTGTGCCTGTGCTGTTGTAGAATGAACCCCAACGTGGATGCACGTCTCGTCATTGATGGACAAGTGATGTTAATGTAGCTGAATGAAGTCAGTGTAGATGTGAGGGTCCTGCTGACTGTGGGTTGAAGCCAGGCTTAATCCTATGATTCTGGGCAGATTAAATTTTTGAGGCAAATTGTATTTATTAAGTTCTGATCACAATACCTGTTTGATGGGCTGATCTAACAATTAGAAATAATGGCTAAAACATACATAATTCATTGGTATTTAATATGTGATAATAATAATGCCTTATTTACTGGGATGTAATAGAAACACTAGCTCACCCAGGTTATCTGACATCCCATTGTTTAGGCCCAAAATCTAGCAGTAATTCTTGATTCTTCACTTTGCCTTATAACTTATATTTAATCCATCATCGAAAATTCCCAACTCTACCTTCAGAATGTTTCTCCTCCAATGACTTCTCTTTGCCCTCACTTCTACCACTCCAGGGTGAGCCTCTTTCACCTTTCACCTGGAATCGCCTTTTAAGAACATAAACTTGATCAAAGTCCTCCAAAGCTTTCCAGTGCACTTAGAATGAAACTCAACTCCTTAACCAGATAATATGAACCCCAGCATCTGCCACTGGCTTCCTTTCTGAACTCATCATTATGACTTTCTCTATTCTGTTCTATTTTCCTTTTTGCTGCTGACCTACTGGCTGGTTTCCTCTTGGGCCTTTTAATTGGGGGCTAGAATTCTCCTCATTCCCTCTCCTGAGCCCTTTGTCAGGTTGGCTTCTTCGTTCATTTCAAAGATATCTACCCAGATCCCCCATCTGTAATTTCCCTCCCACCTTTTGTCTGTCTTGGTCCATTAACATGATTTATTTTTTTCAGACCACTATAATACTTTTAATTTGGCATACATATTTGTTTACATATATGTGGGGAAACAATTTCTTGTTTGATGTTAACAATTAGGGAATGGAATAGTTTGAAGGGCCAATTAATTGTATGCACGAGAGAGCACAATAGAACTCAGAGAAAGGAGAACCCAGAGGTCCAATTCTAAGCAGCTCAAGGAGCTAGGTTCTTTGAAAGGGGTTCAAATCCTAATGTTCAAATCAAGAACAGCAAGGGGGCAGTAAGTTCATGCTGAATAGGAGGCCAGAGGCAGTTTGACATGACTAGATGAGAGTACCTGGTTTCCAGAAATGAGTGTGATGTCTAGAAAGGCAGATGGGGGTGGATCGCTGAGTCTCAAATGCTAGTTGCAGGCATTTGTGAGCATTCCAGCAAAGGACCTTTATGTTCTCTATTTTCAGAGCTGGCTTCAGTAATGTCAGATTGAGTTGCTAACACACAATCCCAAGGGAGAGCCTCCTGGTTTAGAACTGCTGAAATACCAGTGATTTGCATTGGTGATTTTTGTATGTAGTTAAGTGTGTGTTTCAAAAGCCAGACAGTAGTCAAGCCAGTAAGGATGAAGCCAGATTGGGTTCCTCTGAGCCAGAAAGTAACAATAGCAGCTGGTTATTGTTGATTATTGAAAAACAAGGTGTGCTAGTCCTGTTTGCTTTAGGATAAGTGATGCCATTCTGCAGTTTTTCAAAAAGGAACTGTTTTGGTCGCCTAAGGAGGCTTAGACTTCACAAATGCAATTGCATTAGTAATGTTTTTGCCATAAAGAAAACAAAGTGTTTTCTCAGTTCAGCAAGAGGCCTGTAGTAATTTACATACAGAGACTGCTGTGATGATTGGGGGATTATTTATGGTGACAGGAAAATGTGCACATTTTTGTATATTCTTCTTTGCTCTCCCTTTTCCTTCAGGGAGAGAAGTTTATATTTTCATATTTCAATGTCTTAAAGAATCAAAGTGTATGGTAATGAATGTGCCACGGTTGAAGTTTTTTCAAACTTCAAAGGCCAAGTGCCCTTGGGCACAGAAGGAACTGCCTGCCACCCAAGTGGTTGCTGGCATATACCTCCCCACTCTAACCACCTCGAGGCAGGCAGGTCCTCGGCTGCTCTGGGTGTTCTGAGGGCATCCGGGAGCTAAAACAGATGTCTCCCCAGAAATGTTTCTTCCCATTTGGAGGACGAATAAGAGAACAGAGTGAGTTGAACTTGTATGTTTGGAGATGGTAGGATATTGGGGAAGCTGCTGCCACACATTTCTTTCCTCAGGCTCTATCTACCACAGCCTGGATCAGCTTTCAAGCCTGGCCTGGCAAATCAAGTGTCCACAACAGCCACCCATCCTGCTGGAAATCTGCTTCTGTCTTTAATTTTAGTTGTCTTGAGTCTTTTGGCTATGCTCCAAGGTACTGTGAAATCTGAGCCAATATATATTGGAAGGAAAAGAGGGCAACATTTTGTTTACTCGTGTATATAAATATATAAGTAATAAATATATAAATAAACAAATACATGCCTATAATATTGTTATGATTTAGTATAAAGTGTTCCCCAAAAACTTATGTGTGAGTTAATGCAAGAATGTCCAATGATAAAATGATTAGGTAATGAGAGTTTTAACCAAGTCACTGGATTAATCCATTGATGTGGATTAACTAGATGGTAAGTAGAGACAATCAGGGTGTGCATGGAGAAAGTAGGTCACTGGGGGCATGCTTTTGGAGTTCATAATTTGTTCCTGGTGTGCAGAGCTCTCTCTCTGTGTCCTGGCTGTCATGAACTGAATAGATTTCCTCTGCTGTGCCCTTCCGCCATCATGTTCTGCCTTACGTCAGACTCAAAGCAGCGAAGTTGGCCACCCATGGACTGACTGTCTGAAACCGTGACCCAAAAATTTCATCCTCTAAATTATTCTTGTCAGATATTTTGGTCATAGCAAGGAAAGAAAAGTTGACTAAAACAAACAAATAAAATGCATACACACACACACACACACACATATATACACATGTGTGCATATTTATAGTATATATTTCACTTACTTTATATGTATCTGTGATTTATGTATATATACATTGTCTACTTTGTGTGTATATTCCACAACCCTTTGGATGTTCTTATATTTCCTTTTTCCTTCTGTTTCTCCAGCAACTCTGCTGAGGTTGTTTAAGTGGGAATTCCCTGACTCGTCTTTCTGACAGGATGAGGAGGACAGATGACGGAGCTCCGGCTATTCTCAGGGTTGCAAGGCAGGAGACAGAAGACCTACAGGAAGCTTCCTTGCTGGAGTAACACAACAGAGTCCTGTCTGAGGCACTTCCGAAGGGGTGGGCTTGCTGCCCATAAGGCTGGGAAAGACAGCTTTGGCTTGGCCTGAGTTCATGAACATTTTCCCCTAGATATCAAGAGAAGTTTTCTGCTTCCAGTTCAGTTTAGTAAGTGAATGACATGCTTTTCCCTCAAACTCCTGGAGAGGTGGAGGTGGAGGTGGAGATGCTGAATTTTGTACCTAGTTCAATTTCATAGGGTAGGAGGTATCCCTTCTACTTCTAGTCTTCACAATGGATGGTTGACTAATATAGTTCATGGTAACAGCCTGAAGGAAGACAAGGTTAAACCAAGGAAAGCATTTTTCCCTAGTGAAAGGTGCCAGCAAGTTTCTTATGGATGAGTAGAAGGAGACAGTAAGATTTTTTAGCTAAATACAGCATTTATGTTACCTGTGGATCATAAATTGCTAAATGCATAGACAGTTGACAGTTGCTTGGATTTCAATTCTTACTTCGGTTGTAGATTTGCTATGTAGGAGGGACTGAAATAGGCAATTAGAATGACCTATGAAAGACTGAGTCCATTTTTGATATTTCCATTAAATAAGTTTTTTTCCTCTCATAGCTGAACACTTAGGAATTGGGCAATATTCCCGGATAATGTTTTCCCTACAGCTGGTTACATGCTTATAGCATGTTGGCTTGTGGTCTCTCGTGATGTCAGAGTGAAGGAAAGGCCATTAGCTACTAAGTTGAAGACCACAGATGTTCCCCGTTGTGCACAGGTTTTTCAGACGTAAATCTCAATGTTCTGGGAGGCTGGTAGGAAGTTCTGGGAAATAATTCTGGGATAAAAGAAGTTTTAAACAATGCCCATTGCAAACACAAGGACACTGTAAATAAACCAAATCTCCTGTGTACTTCCCTTTCAGCCATAAATACATCTTTTCCTCTTCTGGATCTTGCTGGCTTCCTTGTACAGGGCTGCTAGCCTGCAGCACCCTTGGCGACTTAGTTGATTTCCACATTTCATCAATTCCTTCCTCATTCACCTGGACTTCCTGTCGCTCTTTTAGGAAATACACTTCTTCCTGCAATTGCTCAAAGCACAGACATAAGACCTTCTTGAACCACCACTGGGGCAAGAGTGGAGAAGTAACTCAGCAGTCCCATAGGGCATGGTTCTTAAAGCCAGAGTTGGTTTATTCTCACTCCTTCATGGTTTATGAGTCTTTTAGATGACACCAGGTTTGTCTTTTAGGACTTATATATGTTACATTTTATTTCACAGAACAAACAGAAGTTATAGGAAGAAACCTCACAATCTCACTTATCAACCATGTCAATCTATCTATCTCTGCACTCATGCTCCTCTCCTTTCCCGTTGTTCCAGTACAGCAGTATTTCTAAAAGTTTTGTCCCTAAAGTACCCAATAGGATTACCTGGATTGTGTGTGGTTTAAAAAAAAAAAAGCTAGACCTATTAATTCAGAAACCTAGGAGGTAAGTAGGGCAGGAGAATCTGAATTCTAATGAGCATACTTGTGGCTTCTCATGTACACTGGTATTTAGGGACCACCACCTTAACCTGTTTACCATGTTTTCTGTAATGCATTAATCCCTTTCTCCGTAGGAAACAGAGAAGGGTTTCTTATTTGTTAAAATCAAGGATCCTGAAGCTATGACCCTTTTTTGCTGAGCAATCCCCATAATACTCCCATTTTTGTCATCAAAAAGAAATCTGGTAAATGGAGATTATTGCAAGATTTAAGAGCCATTAATAATGAGATGGTTATTATGGGACCTGCTCAATCAGGGATTCCTCAGTTGTCTGCTTTGCCAAAAACCTGGTATGTTTTAGTTATAGATATTAAAGATTGTTTTTTTTCAATTCCAATTCATCCTGAGGATAGTCCACGTTTTGCATTTACTATCCCTGCACTGAATCATGAAGGTCCTGATCAGAGATATGAATGGAAAGTACTCCCTCAAGGGATGGCTAACAGCCCAACTATGTGTCAAATTTATGTTAACAAAGTAATCCAGCCACTTACAAATCAAAATCCTGAACTACAAATATTTCACTATATGGATGATGTATTATTAGCACACAAAGATAAAAACACATTGCTAGAATGTTATGCCACACTTACAAACTTATTAAAAAATTATAATCTAGAGATAGCAATAGATAAAGTACAATTAAATTTTCCAATTAATTATTTAGGAGTTCTATTATCCTCAACCATGGTCCGTCCACCAAAAATTCAAATACGAGTAGATCAACTCAAATCACTTAATGACTTTCAAAAGTTATTAGGAGACATAAATTGGATAAGGCCTTATTTAGGTATACCAACAGGAGAGTTGGGACCTTTATTTGATATCCTAAAAGGTCCATCAGATCCAAATTCACCCCGAATGTTAACGCCTGAAGCAAGAAAGGCATTAAAAATCATTGAAACATATATGGAAAATATGCATTTGGATAGAATTGATATAAGTTTGCCTTTATTATTTATTGTACTACCAACAAAAAATATTCCTACATGAGTATTTTGGCAAGAAGGTCCATTATTATGGATACATTTATCTTATTCTCCTAACACTATTCTTACTAGGTATCCTGAGGCTGTAGGACAATTAATACTCAAAGGAATAAAAGCAGCAAAGGGAGTGTTTGGAATTTCTCCCAATAAAATTATTACTCCATATACTATGAATCAAATTGATGAGTTAGCTAATGAGTTAAATACTTGGGCAATAATCATGTGCAAATCTAATGTTTCATTTGATAACCACTTACCATCTAATCCTTTATTGTCTTTTTGGTCATTGCATCCTGTAATTTTTCCAAAAATGACAAGGAAAACACCTATCATGAATGCTCCAAATATATTCACTGATGGGTCAAATAATGGTACAGCAGCAGTAGTTACCCCTGATCAAACTTTTACATTTTTAGTACCCAAACAATCAGCTCAAAAGGTAGAGCTTAATGCAGTTTTACAAGCTTTTGTGATGTTTAAAGATTCTGTATTTAATTTATTTTCTGATAGTCAGTATGTAGTTAATGCTATAGTATCTCTTGAAGATGCTGGTAGGATTTCCCCTTCTTCTACTGTTTTCTCTTTGCTTTCCACTATACAAAGTCTAATCTGGGACAGAAAAGATCCATTCTTTATAGGACATATCAGGGCACATACAGGATTGCCTGGAGCCCTTAGTTTGGGCAATGATTTAGCAGATAAAACTACACATGACATACATATTTTCTCTACACTAGAAGAAGCTATAAATTTTCATAAAAAGTTCCATGTCAATGCTAATACTTTACAAAAGCACTTTAAAATAACTAAGGAACAAGCTAGACAAATAATAAAACAATGTCAAAATTGTGTGACCTTTTTACCACAAGTTAATCTTGGAGTCAATCCTAGAGGATTGATACCTAACCATATTTGGCAGATGGACGTCACACACTTGCCAGAATTTGGAAAATTAAAATATTTGCATGTTATAGTTGATACTTCTTCTGGATTTTTGATGGGCTCCCTTCATGCCGGAGAAAAAACTAAAGATGTTATAGCTCATTGCTTACAAAATTTTGCCACTGTGGGTGTTCCAAAACAGTTAAAAACAGATAATGCCCCTGGTTATACTTCTACCTCTTTTAAACAATTTTGCTCAACATTTGGCATTACTCATATAACAGGAATCCCATACAATCCACAGGGACAAGGCATAGTTGAAAGAGCTCATCAAACTATTAAAATGTACTTATTAAAGCAAAAAGAAGGAATTGGGAAGGGGTATATATTCCCCAAAGATAAACTTAAAATAACCCTTTTTACTCTAAACTTTTTAAATTTGGATTCATCAGGACTTAGTGCTGCGGAAAGGCATATGTGTCCAAAAAATGTACATAAGCCCAAGGTACTTTGGAAGGATATTCTAACAGGACAATGGAAAGGTCCTGACCCAGTAATTGTCTGGAGTCGGGGGTCTGTTTGTGTGTTTCCACAGGGAGAACAGCAGCCGATTTGGATTCCAGAAAGATTAACTAAAGCGATTTCTACAGACCAAAAAGAAGATGATTTGGCTCAAATCCATAACAACTGATATCCAAAACTCCAGTTTGGCTATTCTTACATCTGCAACAGAACCAGGATGCTTTTTTCAATATCTATTTTATTATTGCCCTTTGTCATATCATGAAGTTCTATTTTGTTTTTTGAGCTCATACAGACCTAGGTTAATGTTTTGCTGATCAGTTCTCTTTTTTGACTATAGAGTTTTTAAACATTGCAATGGAGATTTCACCTGTAAAAAGTTATAAGGCCTTTACTATAATGTTATGTGTTGTATGTATTATATTATGTGTGCACACTTGTGTTTTGTGTTATATGTTTGAATGTACGTATGTCCATATATCATATATGATGAGCGCTCATGATAAAATGGATCCAAAAAATTTTTTTTTCACGTGATTTATATGGTTTAATTTAAATTGGGTAAACAACTGTTGAGGATTGTTTTAATATGTAAACAAAAAAGAAGGTTAACAGATCTGTTTGTTTACTTTCACCTTTCCTTTTCATTATATTTAATAATTCTCTTAAAGATAATGTAAATTGTTAAGAAAATTGTTTTCTTTTAGTGCCTTCTGTAATGTTACATAATTTTTTCTTTAGCCATTATTGCCAGAATTCCTATCTTCATCCCAGTGCTAGTGAAGTCAAAGATAAAACCAATCTACAGCTTCTACAATAGCCTTCACTGAACTGCTTGCAGAACTTGCCTGGACACATTGTGAGCTCACCTGTATGCATTGTGAACTATCTGTTGGTACAGCGAATTGTGGTAGTGCTGGAGTATTTTTGCTGATGGTGTCACCGGTGGTACAATTTTTCAAAGGAGCCCTCAATTGGCTTAATGTCATGGCATTTTGCATCCTCCTCTACTAGTGATGGTCTAAAATTTGGGGGCCAACAGAGGTGAGGCAAAGAACCTCACCCCCCCCACAGGTGCAAAGGCCTATCCACAAGTATGGCTGTATGCTGGACCGGTAGTCAGTGACGGGTATGATCCAATTGCAGTGGTACCAACCTAAGACAGGAGGCTGACGCCTAGAGGTCAGTTCATCCGATGACGGTAAGGACCATATGTTGAATTGGACTGCCTAACAGGCACGGTCCCTAAGCCACATGCTTGTTGTTTAAACAGAGAGGGGGAGATGTTGAGAGCTACAGCCAAAGGGGCCCCAGCAAACTTCCAGCTGCCAGCAAACTTCCAGCTGCTGGCTGATGATTGGCTCACAGCGGCCTCAGCAACATCTAGCTGATTGGCTCCTCGGCCCCAGCAACATCTAGCTGATTGGCTCCTCTGCGGTGATGCTCATTGGGCTGTTTCCCTGCCCTTTCAGACCACGGAGCTGCTCATTGGGGGACTTTTTTGGCTCCGCCCATGTGACCCAGCCAATCGGCCTCAAGAGCAGGAGGATTGTGGGAGGTGGAGAGAAGCTGGTGGGGGAGAGAGAGGCTTGTGGAAAGCCGGTGGTGGCAGTTGAGGCTCTGAGGGTTTTTCCTGAGAGGCTATTTTGTTTGGCGTGTGTGGTTCTAAAAATAAAGTTAGTTTCTTTTGACAAGTGGCTCCTGATTGTGCCCAGCCAGACTGCGGCATTAAACATTGGCCATTACAACAAGCCACTCAAACGCTTCGAGGCCTAGGAGTGGCGACTAATCCCCATAGAAGTGCAATGGTATTAGATTGGAAGGATCCTGAAGGATGTGAAGGAACTATACAGCCATATGTATTGGATCATCTTCCTATAAATTTATGGGGACGAGATGTCCTAGATCAATTAGGTTTGACATTAACAAATAACATCAACCAAAATGCACCCACTATTATGACTAGACAAGGTTTTAGGAAAGGAAAAAGATTAGAAAAACAAGAACAAGGTATAGCAGCACCAATACAAATAGATCAAGGAACAGAAAGACATGGATTGGATTTTCAGAAAGGGCCACTGAGACAATAAAAATTACTTGGAAATCAGAAAGACCTGTATGGGTTCCTCAGTGGCCCCTGACTAAAGAAAAGATACAAGCAGCCCATGACCTGGTCAAACAACAATTAGCAGAAGGACATATACAACCTTCTGTATCTCCCCCTCTCTGTTTAAACAACAAGCATGTGGCTTAGGGACCGTGCCTGTTAGGCAGTCCAATTCAACATATGGTCCTTACCGTCATCGGATGAACTGACCTCTAGGCGTCAGCCTCCTGTCTTAGGTTGGTACCACTGCAATTGGATCATACCCGTCACTGACTACCGGTCCAGCATACAGCCATACTTGTGGATAGGCCTTTGCACCTGTGGAGGGGTGAGGTTCTTAAAGTTTAGAGTAAAAAGGGTTATTTTAAGTTTATCTTTGGGGAATATATACCCCTTATTTAAAGTCTATGCTTCCATTTCCTTAGCTATAAAATTAGGATAATAAGATTACTTGTTTCTCAAAGGCTTATTAGGATAATAAGATTACTTGTTTCTCAAATTAAATGAGTAATATATGTAAAGCATATACAAATGTTTGCATAAAGAACATATAACCAAGATATGTGTTTGCTATTATCTTCACTTAACATTTAAACACATGCAAGACTGTACTATTTTTTTTAGA